AACAAAAGCAAAAATAATTAAAGAGTTCAATATGTTCATTAAGAAGGTTTATCGCTTGTGAAAGACTCAACTAAGCTCCTATTTACAAAAAAATCACAGAACAGGGAAATGAATACTACCTCAAATTTATTTAAAAAATAAAAGAAATAGTAGCATTGTGAAATAAAGAATAAAAGAATCACATAAAACCAAATAATTATATTAAAATTTCAATTGAAAGTCAGGCATTGTTTTTTATATTAGGGCATTCAACTGTATTCATTGCAACTTCTTCAAGTTGTAGATCCAAATAATAAAAATTGTGTAGTGAAACCCATTGATAGCTATCTAATTCAGTTTTCTTTTAGAATTAATGATAAAAGAAAGTAAAAAAAATCCAATTTAACCATTGTTTTCTCTATTTTTGTGATTTAATTCAGAAGAAAATTGGGTAAAAGGGCCTAGAAAGCCAGCATACCTTGATTGAGTTAGCACAGGAGAGGGAAAAGGTAGGATCCATTAACCACTTAAATGAAACATTAAAAAGATGGGTTTTGGGGAAAAAAACGTTGGGTGTTAGGACAAAACGTAGGGTTTTGGTAGGTTGTTGGAAAAAATTTGGGTTTTCTACAAGAGTAATAGAGAGATTTAACCTACTGTAAAAAAATTTCATGAGTTAGGGTTAGATTGTGACTTGGGTTTGAGAAAAAAAATCAAGATAATCACTCACCCGATTGATGCCCTAAACAGAGGAGGAGTGTGTGGCATCTGTGGCAAAACCGAAGCTTCTCAGTGAGAAGAGAGGACGACTGTTGGGCTTCGCTGAGAGGGGAGGGGATGAACAAGAAAGAATAGCTCTTCACTTCACATAGTAGAGGAGAGAAGAGGACAAGCCAAGAGGAGAGCCTCGTAGAGAGAGGGACACCTGAGAGAGAGAGAGAGAGGTCGCAGAGGAGAGGAAACGGGAAATAAGGGTTAAAAGAAATTTTTTGAAGTTTGAAGCTTTTTGAGCCAATCAGTGCATTTCGTGCGCGGAGTGTTCTCAGCTTATCAGGACCTTCATTTCAATTTTTTTGAATTGACCATTGATAGGGTGGGGGCAAAAGCACTGTAGATTCTCATCTAGAGGGGTTGCAAGGACTTTTCCTATATATATATATATATATATATTATTGAATATCTCTAATTCTTAATTTATTTTATTGGCCTAGAAAGATATGTTCCAACAACAAACGTTCAATAAAATGGGTCTAGAAAAATCTAACAATTAAATAGAAAATGGGGAGAAATGAAGTAAAATTTTGTTTTATGACCCATATGCTTATGAAATTCTCTAATTCTTAATTTATTTTATTTAAATTTTTTTATTAATATTTATTTCTATTATCCTTATTACATGTCTTCATGCAGTCCATGTGATTCCGCTATGTACAACTAATAATGCCCTTTTGAGTTATCTAAATTATATGAGAGATAATTGTTAGAAAGACAATTGATTCCCTTTTTTTTCCTGTATAAAAATTATGAAATCAAAATTATAAGAAATATAATTCTTAGAGAGATTTAGATAGAAAGGTATATAACAACATGCATAAAAAATTCTCTTTCCCTTTCAGTTTCCCCAATTTTGGACAAATTTTTCTATTTATGTATTGAGTTGTGACAAGTGTTATTTCGGATTCCTAATTTTTTCTCTTGATTTTGATTTAGGGTTGGCATTGCGGTAGATGTAATGGTTTAGATTGAACCATGCACATCCAAAGGCCAATAATGACTTCGGATTACCCTAAATAGATGCCATACCCTGGAATAGTATTTTCATTAAATGAGGGGATGAATCATCACGCAGCCCCATCAACGTCGGCACCCATGACTCAGTTTTCAAATGATTAAAAGGTGCATGGTTTTGTTATATTCGTACCGTTTCGTTAACTTTAAATTTTCTTTAAATGCCTTTTGTTTTTGTGTGTATGTGTTTGTTCATCTCAATTTATTTTCATTACGATTAGAATATTTATTTTCATGTCTACCTGAACATTCTCTCTTGGGACTTTGAAATGGGGAGTTCGATTAGGTGTAGGATTTTTAATGGCTTTGCATATGTAATATATAGCAAAGGCTGACATATTTGTGGTTATGATTTTGCTTATAGAGTATATCAAATTATCCTGGCAACTGAATTATGAACTATTGGTTGCAATTTTATTTTTTTTTATTTCTAGGTGTCATTGTTATTGTTCATTTTTTATTTGGTGAAGGTGATGAACAACATTTATCCTTTTTTTTTAACTATTAATCTTAATTTTTAATATTTCTCATAACGATAGTAGGTTAGTTATACATTATAAATTATTAATGCAATGATAATTATAAAGCAATCCCCTGCCCTCTCTTTCACATTATGACGTGGATTTTGTGATTTTCAGGTATTATGTACCATTGAATGAAGTTTAACAAAATCCATATTGAAGGTAAGTTGTAGTAATTCTTTTTTTTGTATTACCTATGTTTTTATTTTTTTGGGTGTTTTTCCCATTTTATGAAGATTGAAGAACACATTAATCTTTAAAAGTAAGATAAACCTAGCTTTTCTCAAGGTATGTAATTATTGTTTTAAAAATTTCATAAGCACTTGCTTTGAATTAAATTACAGATTATCTTATTTTGCAGATGTTCTATTTGAAATAAAAAATAACATAAAAAAATTATAAGCAATTAAAATAATACAAAGTTTTGCTCTACTTCACAATTTTAGTGAGTTTTCCACATAATTATTATTATTTTTATATTTTCAATGATAAAAATATATAATTTTTTATTTTTTATCTAAAAAATTTGTGCTTTCATTAGATAGTCAATACTTTTTAGTCATGTGCAAAGCACATGCTATATATATATATATATATATTTATTAGATGGAAAAAGCTGACGTAGACTCATTAGCCTACAAGTACATATGAACCCAATGTTTGGGCCAATCTGACGGTCATAACTTCATTTCATATTTTAATTTTAATTTTTTCTACAAATCCAAATCACATAAAATTTTATACATCTATTGCTCTCATCGAGGCACATCTAAAAAAAATATTAAAAAAAAAAGAAGAGAAAAAACAAGTCAAAAAATGACCGACCAAGACATACGTCCCCCAAGTCATACTCCAAGGTGGGGTATCAATTTCCATTACTTGGCCCGTGTCATTCTAACTTCAACAGGGGCAATTCCTTTCTTTGGTTGTCTTCTCATATATCCTGGCCTTAAAATGTAAACCATCATCTTTACATTTTTTTTGGTGACCTGAGCATCAGGATGTATCACCAAGTAAGGGATCTGGTGTCTTCCAACGTGCTTCAACAATGGACGGTGATGGTGGCATGTGGGTTGTCGTAGTCTTCTTTGCCCGTCACGCGTGATAAAATTGTGACCTAAAACTTGGAAAAATATTTGGTGAGTCCGCCGACTCATCTATTCTTGTGCGCTCTTCTTCCTAGATATATCTCAAAGATTTATTTTTGATACAAAATTTTATGGTTTGATAATCTTAACTTTGAGAATGATCTAAAAATTAGAATATTTTTTTTTCAAAAAATATTAATATAGCTTTTTGAATTTTTTTTTCTACCCTCTATTTTAACTTTTAGTGGGTGTATTAGTTTTTGACATGCGAGATGGACTTTTGATAGACAAGGGATCGCATGATAATAGGTGAGTCTGTTGACCCGAAAAACCGTCGGCCATCGATAGAAGGTTAACCCAAATAAAAGGGTTACGTTTAACTTGGAGGCCAAGTCAAAAGGTCGATAAACCCCGTATGAGGTGTGAGCTGTAGACATTCTCCACCCCATTAGGAGGAAAGTTTATATAGAGTTTAGGTTCTAAACAATCAGATTACAGTCTACCTCAAAAATTTCACTAGAAGAGATTGTTTTGATGTTCAAATATCATCAAATTGGTCATTTCGACATTAAGATACATTGTTATGAGGAAAAAAAATTGATTTCAAATTTTGGAAATAGTGCATCTTGTAATGCCTTTTTAGACCGTCAACTTTCAATATTTTCATTGCTCGATTTACACTATTTTTAAATCTTTAAATTATATAATTGAAGATAAAAATATATTTTAAAGCTATCACAAAACCTTCCAGTATTGAAACTATATTTTTTGATATCATTTGAAGGTAGGCTCTACTTTGATGGTTTAGAGCCTCGGCTCTATATAAACAGCACCAACCTGTTTCTTTATCTCTTGGAGAGAGAGAGAGAGAGAGCGTATTCAGGAAAAGGTTTTTTAAAGGGCAAAAGTTTATATAGAGCCGAGGCTCTAAACAATCAAATTTGAGCGCACTCAAAAATTTCACTAGCAGAGGTTGTTTTCATGTTCAAATATCTTCAAATCTATTATCTCGACATCAAGATGTACGGATATGAGAAAAAAAATGGATTTCAAATTTTGAAAATAGTGTATTTTGTAAGACATTCTATTTTCAAGATTCTCAAGTTTTTATAGATATGTCAATTTATATTATTTTTGAAGTTTTAAATAAATATGAAAATATATTTTAAAATTATACAAAAATTTCCAATATTAAAACAACATTTATCGACACTATTGAAGGTAGGTTCTAATTTGATTGTTCAGAGCCTAGGTTCTATAAAACCGCATCGTTCCTTAAAAAATTGCACATTTCCCCTCCCAACGTGCATGCATTCCCCCCCTCTTCCACGAGCCAAGACGACCGGGTCTTGTGAGAAGGTGCGCTCCGCACGCTGCTTCTCTGCATATATATACATAATATATCTCTTTCGTCCTCTCCAACACCCTCGTTATGCGAGAGAGTCTTAACATCTCAGATATCAGTTGAAAAAGGTATTTCTTTTTTTGGTTTCTTCTCAGACATGCTTTTTTGGTGGAGACTCTGCTTTTCTGGCTCCACTATTTTTTTTATGCCTGTACCATTTGTTTCTCTGTCCTAATAGGTATAAAATCATGTGTTAGATTTTTTTTTTTTATATATATTTGGTTGTTATGTAGTTGTGTATATTTGCAGATAATACTTTATTGCTGGATAGTCATTTGGGATTTAGCCGTGTTTCCTTCTCAAATCTTGTTCAAACCATTTTGATTTGGGTTTCCTAAATTATAAATCAATTTTAACCCCAAGTTATTTGGCTACTAAGAATTTTTTTACTCATCTTTTTGTCACTCTGCAGCCTATGGTTTCTTCTTTTTCTGCCGAAATTAATTTCGTGTTGATGGGTCATTTGGTCTACAATAAGAATATTTATTTGGAAAAAGAGAACCTGTCTCTCCATCATATATTCCAAAATCTTTTGAAAGGGGGATTGCTGGTTATTGTTATTATTTATTTGGAAATTTGGTTCAACAGAGTTTTTTTTTTGTCTAACTTCTCTAATCGATCTTTAATTGATACTTGTAGTTGATCTCCACTCTTGTTTTATGGATCGATTACTGATTCATCAATCCTACAGTCCTGTAATTGGTATTCAATCATTTTTCTCTGTTATGTCTCTACTTGGATGAATTTTTTTTTCTCATTTTTTTGGTTAAAAAAAATTCCTTAAAATGTTTGAAGATATTATGGATAGATTGTTTTAATCATGGATGCAATGTTTTTTTTCCCTCTAACCATTTAATGAGTCCTTTGTTGAAAAACTTTAGGAGAAACATTTTAACCATGTTTTTTGTTTTCTTTCTTTTTTCTTGTGATCATATAAATGGTTGCTTTGTTTTATCCCATGATCATCAATTATTATCAGTTTTATCACTGCTATTGTATGTTCGTAGCAATATAATATGTATTTGTGATGATTTTTGGGTGATGTTCTAGTTTTGAATCTAAAAAGAGTATAGCGGTTAGGATTTATGTGTTGGCCCATTTGGATTTGATTATTTTGCTGGTTATGTGGGTATGTAGCTTGTATTTGGGTGCGTTGCTCTAGATATAATTGGGAGGTATAATCCATGAGTTGGTTCATTTGATTCACATCTTTATTAGTGATTCTGTTTTTTTTTGTTTCAATATGTGTTTTTGTTTCTTTTTCTTTTTCTTTTCCCCTTTTGCTGGTTATTTGGGTAGGTAGCTCTAAAAATAATATAGGAGTTACAATCCATTATTCATATTTGTATAAGTTTTTTATTTTTATTTTTTTTGGTCTAATGTGTTTGCTTGAAATGAGGATGACTGTAGCTAAAATGAGGAAGTTGAGATGGATGACTGGCAAGACCAAGAAGGAAAAAATTTGGAATGAACAAATTCAAGAAAATTTAGGGGTAGCTCTAATAGCAATTAAAATGCGGAAAAGTAGACTTAAATTGACATGGATGAAAGTAGTGAGAAAAAATATGATGACTTATTTTTAAAAAAGAAATTTAACTACAAATGCTGAAAAATCCAGAAATTTTTTTTGGTATTATCATTTCATACAATCCATATTTTAGATCATATTACCTTCTTTTAGTTTTTTTATTTCCCATTGTACCTTTGGTTCGAAAATTTAAGTATGTAACCACAAAATTGGATGTATTTGAGCAGTTTCAAAGTCCAACTTTTGAATTATTTGAGGGAATTTTGTGGAAGTAAAAGATGAACAAAATAAACAAGTGGGATCTATGAAAATTTTGAGAAACTTGAATGGAAGATTTTAAATATTGTAAAGAAGGGCGGTAATTTTGAAGTTTTTACAATTGATGGTGTTGAAAGTGCAATCTGCTCTTTTCAAAATTAATTAAAAATTGATTATACAGCCTAGTCCAATCACGTGATTAAGTTATTTAGCCTGCTAGAAATGTGGTTAGAAGATTTTTGTGGTCTTAAGTTGATTCGTCTTTCGAATACACATTAGAAAATAACGTTTTTGCGTTTTTGAAAGTCTAGATCTATTGTCCCCCTCAAATTGATGAAGTCCATTTTGAGTGTGCAGGGTTAGATTTACAACACTTTTGAGTTCCTAATATCTTTATTTTTGTAAGTAATTAGGGAAATTTATCAAATCACATAAAAAATTAAACCATTTGACTCTTCACATTGGTGTGATTTGATAAATTTCTAAACCCCTAAGTGTGTATCATTTGATGGGCTATTTGAAATTTGATCAAAAGAATGATTAAGCTATTTGAATTAGATGAATCGGTACGAGTTAGACATTAAATAGTTCAACACTTACTGTGATTTGACGAATTTCTTAATTATTAATATGAGGCATGTGATTGAAAACTTCATGGATAAAAATATTCTCCTTGACTGCACTTTTTCTTTTTCTTTTTTTCCTTTGAATGGGGTGAGTGGAGGATGATCATGTGCTGCGGGTGATTGGGCTTCTAATTGGTGGCCAAATTTATTCCATCAAAAATTATAAACTTTAATGTTCTTATGCTACCAAGTAACGAGTGAACATTAATGTGACTGTGGTTTGAAGTGCACTGCAGCTACTAAATTTATTAGTTAGTAAGCCTAATAATGAACCATGACTCATCTTGGATTGCAGGCATAAGCTAGTTTCTTTAAGAGAAGTGCTAGTGCATGTTTGCTTGTTTGATTAGGATCAAAATCTTGGATTGAATTGGATTGTTAAGTGGTAAGAAAGAAGAAGAGAAAAAAAATGAGTGAAGGTAGCAAAAATGGATTATCAGCTATGGAATCAGAGAAACGTCCTACTCCGCGATTGAACGAGAGGATCCTTTCTTCCTTGTCGAGGAGATCGGTAGCCGCGCACCCATGGCATGATCTCGATATAGGTACCCTTGTACCCCACCAAAACAACAATTTCCGTCCCTCTTCACTCTTATTATCACTCCTTCTTTCTCACATACTCATCCACATTTTCTCTGTCTCCCAATCTTCTCACTCCCTCCCTTCCACACAAACTCTCTCTCCTAAACTGACTACGTCTTTATGCCTTGCAAGTAGGACCTGGGGCTCCCTCGGTTGTCAATTGCGTAAGTATTCTTTACCATGGCATTTGATAATTGTGTATGGGGTCATGAGGATTTGATAATTGCGGAAGAGAGGCAGTTGATCTTTATTACCACACGAAATATGGGGTTATGAGGATCATCATCATCAAATCAATAAGTTGGAAAGTGAGGGGAGAAAGTGGGACCCGCCAGAGCATAAAAGAACGTTATTAGTGGATCCCACTCTATCTCACCCACCAACTCATTGATTAGGAGGAGATGACTCTTATGACCATAATCATGAGGACTATAATTTACTTTTAGTAATTTGTAGTGCCTCTCAAAACTGTTATCCTCTCAAATGCCAAACCTTGTCAACGACTTGGCTCCCATCTTGGTAACCTTTCAAGTCTCATAAAATATACAACATGTTGAGTGGTCTTGAGAGGAAACGTATACATATTACATACTTTTCAGAGAGAAATTTGTATTAAAAATAGATAAAACAATAAATGTATCAAATTTTTTTCCAATATTATCATGAAATTATAGTAACTAAAGCAAAATGATTAGCTTGGATTGTCATCTTTTAAAAGATTGAGCTGCACATCCTCATTTTAATTATTAAGATAAATAACATCTTCATGCAATCTTAATTTATTTTTAATTTTTAAAAAGGATTAGTAAAAATTCCCAATCTTCAAAGCCCTATCCTCTCAAAATCGATTTAGAGTTGGTCCACCAAGGATATTGGTCTGCAGAGGTGTCACTGTGTGAACTTTTGTTGTTCATTTATAAAGGAACAACGAGGAGAGGAAAAATAGAGATATGATTGTATCACTAGCATAAAATATGTTATGGGGCATAATTAATTCCTATTCCTAACAAGCCTACATTGTGTCATATATAGGTTGTGGAGATAGGAAAAGGAAGCAAGGTCAAGTACGAGCTGGACAAGAAAACTGGGCTCATTAAGGTATTACGCTTGTTCTACTAGTGAGAATAACATTTCTTCATTGATTTTTTCAACATTTTCGCCCTTTGTCTTTGACAAATTACTCATTATTTCTTTTCTATTTTTGCTCTTCGAATGAAAACTTAATGAATAATTGACACATGCTCAGGTTGATCGTATATTGTATTCTTCGGTGGTTTATCCTCACAACTACGGTTTCATCCCTCGAACACTTTGTGAAGACAATGACCCTATGGATGTCTTGGTTCTAATGCAGGTAAAACAAACTCTAAACGATCCTCTGGAATCAATTCCAAGAGTATCTAGGTTACTTCAGATAAATAACTATACAACATTGATAACTTTGGGACAATTAAACAGAATTGGTCACATGCAACCAACATGTTCATGGCAAGCCTATGGATGTCTTGGTTCTAATGCATGTAAAACAAACTCTAAACCATCCTCTGGAATCAATTCCAAGAGTATCTAGGTGACTTCAGATAATAACTATACAACACTGATAACTTTGGGACAATTAAACAAAATTGGTCAAGCCAACATGTTCTTTGCAAGTTTTGACAAATACATTTAGAATGGATTGGTGGATATATAAGTTGGACATACGTGTTCATAGTTCTTGCGAGTTTTGTCACTCCAAGAATGTGATATGTGTGCCTTACACTTTAGAAACCTGGGCACTTCCAACTGGCCTTGCTGACAGACTTGGTGTGGCTTGAGCTTGACCTGGGCCTGAACTATATGTAAAAGGCCCCAGCCTAAGGAACTGCCTATGGGCCAACCATGGTGGCCCAAAGCTCGTATGAAAATAGGCCTAGCTGAAGCCTGCAGACAAGACGTAAGGCTGCCAATAAAATGAGTCCGGGCCAGGCCAAGCTTGCCCTGGGGCCAGCCAGAACCTTCACAGCCAGGCCCGGTCCTCCTGGTCATGACAATTTAGACCCAAGTGTGGCTGGAGCTGGCCCATGGCCATTCTTGGTGGTTTGAAATTGGGAAAGTTTATTCAAATCTTATTTGGAAAAATTTATTTCCGACCTGATTTTTCCCAAATACCGTAACCATAGTTTGAATTGGATTAGACAGGCTTGTTCAACCTGCTTTGAATTGACATTTTCAGGGTTTCGGCTCAAGTTTTAGCCATAAAGATATTTCATTATAATAAATGTAACAATAGTATTAGAGTAAGCAATAATTAACCCAAAGGCACTTCTTGAATTTTGTATACTGAGTACTGTGTTTCTGGCTAACATGTGTCAAGCATGTCACCCAAGATCTTTCTCATCTTTTTTAAATTGATATGGGTCTGAAGAATATCAGGAAGAGGTCAGGGAACCCATTAGATAATGGGATCACAGGCAACTTGTTTAATGTATACTACTCAAATATGACCTAATATATCAGCTCCATTATCATTGAATTAAAATAAATCAACTCATTAGATAAGCTGGCCAGAAATAACCAATTCATTGCCTAGCATGCTTTTAATAAACTTAGTTGGCATTGATATTATGTCCTTTTCCTTTTCCTTTTCTGATAATTGTTTAATTTTTAGCTTTAGTTAATTTCTGCCCTCATTTACTGCTTAAATATTTCTAAGGTCATGATATTTTGAGATAGCTAGTTTGCTATATCAAAAACACAATACGACTTTCCTTCTAGTTTCTGTGGTGACTTCGCAACTAATTATTGTCTGCAAAGTATATCTGTTATATAACATTGGTACTTATATTAATTTAATGATTATCAGGAACCAGTTCTTCCAGGTTGCTTTCTTCGAGCTCGAGCTATAGGACTGATGCCCATGATTGACCAGGTATTTGATTACTAGAGGAGAACATGCAGAATTCGAACTCTTGGTCTTTTTCATTTTTCCAATTTCATTTAGTTATCAACTATTATCTGAATGTATTTTGTTGTTTCTGGGCGTGGAAAAAAGGGTGAGAAGGATGATAAGATAATTGCAGTGTGTGCGGATGATCCAGAATATCGACACTACACTGACATCAAAGAACTCCCTCCTCACCGTCTACAAGAGATTAGGCGATTCTTTGAAGATTGTATCCTTTTTATCTTTTCTCATATATAATGGTTTCTATTGAGGTGAAGTACACCATATATCTGGCCCTTTATGGTATATTGTACACCACAGTGGCATCCATGATCCATTATTGATGATGGACATGGGAATAAGCATTAGAGTGCTTATAGTTTATCTTTCCTCTCCATCACTGGAAACAGACAGGCGATCCACCTATGTTATACTCTGCCTTCAATTATTAGCAGTCTTTCTCAATTATTACTTAGTACTTGGGTTTCCTTTACCATAATGTAACTTAGACAAGAAGAACGAGAACAAGGAAGTTGCAGTGAATGACTTTCTCCCTTCCACAGCTGCATATGAAGCCATCCAATACTCCATGTAAGTCTTTTCTCTTTTCACATTTCATGGCACATCAAATGTTATAGAATTTACCAAAATTTAAATTCTGGATAATAAGAAAGGTTTATGAATGAGCTGCCTCGCATCGAATACAAATATGCATATGCATAGAACTTGAACTGTCAAGATAAACTCCAAATAAATTAATCTCTCGTAATCACATTTACATTTGCTTATCACTGACATATCGCGATCGTTCATATACATGTATAAAAATGCATAGAGAACAGACTCCTCACCTTACATAGTTTGAACTACTGTAATTCATTAAAATGTATGATACGTAATAGAAGGGGCAGGTACACCCGTTTATCACTGATATTTCGTGATCATTTTCATATGCATGTATTAAAATGCCTAGAGAACAAACTGCTCCTCTCACATAGTTTGAAATTACTGTAATTCATTAAAAGTATGGTATGTGATCGGAGGGGTTTATTTCTCTTCTTATTTAAGTAGGTTTAACATGTGGTCTGTGGTGCAGGGATCTTTATGCAACCTACATCTTGCAAAGCTTGAGACGTTAATGGACACTACGATTGGATATCTATAGATTATCAAAAGCTAATATATAATGATTCGTATTCTTTACTTCATGAAATCACTTGGACTATATATTCGTTTGATGTGCCAATAGTTGAATAAATCTATCGAGCTATTGTTTTTTCGTTTTTTATTTATTTCAAATTTGTCTCTTGATCTTTGCTCTACAGTACATTTGTGGCGTTGTATTTCTTGTTTGGCGAAAGTCATGGACCTCTATCCTTAGAAGAGGTTCAGATTTTGTATTTGCTTTGCCATGTACAAGTCTTTTTGGCTCATCAATTCAGTACTTCGAACCAGATAGTTATGGCATATATATGGCCACAAAAACAACTATTGTTGTTGGGCCTTGGGCTACATATAAATACTGATGATTGTAAATGCTTTTTTCACAATAGTGATTGAGATTCCATTCATGGCTTTCCATTTGTTGAACCTGGAAACATAATTAGGATTCATCGAATGTTTCTTTTATTTCTCTCTTCTATGCATAAGTATCCATTATATTGTCTCGTCATAGGGATGATAATGGGCTGAGTGGCGCGGCCGGGCTTGGCCCTAAAAACTAGGGCTTGGGTGACATAATGTGGTCTGCGGGCTAGGCTAGGGATGGGCAATTATGGCCCTTAGGGTAGGGCTAGGTTAGGTCTGGGCCAAGGCTGGCCTGGTTTAGCTTGGTCCGCTCTCTTATTCCTTGTTGTATTCTTTTTTTATCTTTAGATTTTATTTGGCATAGCCAAGCGTGGCCCAACCTTGATAGAGGGCGAGGGGTAGGGTCCAGGGCCTCTTTTGCTCGGTCAGGGCTTGAGCAGGCCCTATGGGGACATGGGCTGAGCTAGGGCCAAGGCTGGCCTGGCGTAGGTTTGGTCGTTGCTAGCTCTATCTCTTCATTACCTTCATACCCATAAATAGGACCTGAAGAGCCATGCACATGTGACCACATGATTTATATGGTCACATGGATTACATAATTCCTTCCGTAGCAACTATAGAGCAAGCTTGTCGAAATGCCTTTTTGGGTAGGTGTTTTCCTACACACCAAAGGGAGATAAAATGAAAAAAAGATAGGGTAAAAAGGGTATTAAAACGTGGATCGGCTGCTTGGTCCGGTCCTCCTTTGTACTAATCCAGATTGGTCGAATTGTACGATCCAAATTGGAGTGTGGTTTGTATTGAGCTTACGCTCTAACAATCAAATTAGAGCCTACTTTTAAATAGTGTCGAACAATGTGGTTTTAATATTGGAAATTTTTGTGATAGCCTTAAAATATATTTTTATATTTGTTTATAATGTTTAAAGTTTCAAAAATAGTGTAGAAAGACATATCTATGAAAACTTGAAAATTTTGAAAATTGACGGTCCAAAAATGCGATACAAAATACACTATTTCTAAAACTTTGAAATCCATTTTTTTCTCATGTCCATACATCTTGAGGTCGAGATGATCAATTTGAAGGTATTTGGGTATCAAAACAACTTTTTGTAATGAGATTTTTGAGGTAGGCTCAAATTTGATTGTTTAGAGCCACAACTCTATATAAACTTTTCCTTAAAATTAAAATTGATAAAACAGGGAGAGAAAAATTGCATAAATTATTTCATTCTATAAAATTTTTGTTCGATAACATAGATCAACAAAACGTATATTATAGAAAGGGAATAGTGGGTTTGGGAAAGAATATTATTGATTCTCAATTCGGCCCAAAGAAGTATAAAAAATATGACCAAATCGAATGTTCCCAATGAGTGTTGACTATTTTTAAAAGGGTGTGGTTTGTATAAGGTTGAACAATCCAATTAAGGCGCACCTCCAAATTTTATCGTAATATGTAATTTTGGTGTAAAACATTCTTAGGATTATTTGAAATTTATTTTTATTTCTAATTATAAAATTTTAAAGTAAAAAAATGGTTAAAATCAAGGAGATATATAAACATATAAAAATCTTGAAAGTGGACGGTCTAGATAATATGTTGCAAGATGCAGTATTTTTTGGAGTCAAAAAATATTTTATTTATTTTTTCATATCAATACATCTCGATACTAAAATTATCAATACAACATTTTCTGATGGATTTTTGATATGCATCTCTAATTCTATATTTTAAGGTTGCAACCACATATATAAACTTTTTTCTTTTTAAATATCAACAACTTTTCAATCCCGTGGCAAAACCATATCCATTCATAAACTCTTTTAAGATATAGGGCTCTTCCATCTTCTATATGAATGTTGCATGCGTGTACCCTAAATTATTGCTTTATGCAAATAGAAAGTAATAGTAGTCCTCTCTATCTCTATCAGACCATTTCTTCTGTTTTGACACTGTTATTTTCGTTTCTAGCACCAAAACTATGTCTTTTAGTATAATTTAAATGCGCACTAGATTGTTTAAGGTTGATACCTTATACAAATGGCACCCTAAAAAAAATAAAGTTCAAACCATTTTTAATTGGACCACGATTGTACCATATGACATATCCTTACGATTCTCACTCATCCGCATCTTATCCCAAAAATAGGAATAGTTATACTGAAAAATCACAAACTTTAATGCAAATAAATTTATGAATATTTATTTTAGGAAGATGCTAGAGCCCATGGGCCATGGGCTGACATGAGCGTTTTCCTTTATTAATAAAATTTGAATTTTTTTAAAATTTAATGGAAATAAATTAGTGAAATTTTATTAGGTGCTTCGAAACATGCCGCAATTAGATTGAGTCCACCCTTCCAAAATTCATTATTTTGGGGATGGATTTTAAATATAAAAAAGTTTACTATGATCATATACCAAAAAAAAAAAAAGTTTTGAGAACTAAAAATGGTGCGTTTGTGTTTTTTTTTAATCAACAATATAGATCACTTAATTTGAGCTCTGATGATTGGCTTGAAGAGGAAATGGATTTCCTCAGAGAAAATAACAAGAGACTTGAAGGCGCAGTCCCATGAATCGGACTCGGACTCGGAGAAGACCCAACGCAGCTAAAGAACAAATCCCCGTCTGACTCGGCACCGTTAACTTGGTGGGTCTCAAGTGGCATCAACACCGTTAGATTAATCGTGGCTAGTTCCGACTTACTCCCCAAATGATCGGCGATATGTCTTGACACATGGAACGTGCTTAGGCGATGGAGCCCACTCACAGTTTGAGCCTATTGATTCGCCTGAATCTTTTCCGAAATAGTCAACGGAAAATTTCATATGGCTGGAAAAGTCGCCAAAGAAGTAGTTCTTGCGTGAACGATGCGTGGGAAGAAGCAGGGTTGGTTCTTGCCTGAACCATGGGTGGGGTGGGGCCTCCACACGAAACGATCGGAGTTTCTTTGAACGTCTTTCTTGACAGAAGGAACCCCATTAAGCGATGAAGCCCACTTGTTGTCGGATCCAGTCAACTCACCAGAATCGTTGCTGGAATCCTCGTCGGAGAAGTGGGTTTCATAGGAAACCTTGCCAGAGTAAGTCTTGACTGAACTTTCAGAGTGGTTACCCGGAAAGAATCGATCGGTGATCTTACCTGAACGATGGTTGCCGTGGGGCTTCCCCTGGTAAGGATCACCCATTCTTTGAAGCCCTGTCTTGACACAAAGAGCACCACTAGGCGATGAAGCCCACCTATTGTCAGAGATCATCAGCTAGTTGGAATCATTGCCGGAGTTCTTCCAGGTTGAAGTGCGTTTCCCGAGCCAGGCAGCCTTGACAGCGGAGTTTCCTGAAAATGGAGACAAACAAGGATTTAGAATTCTTTGATTTTCGTTCTTTGAAAGGAGATAAAGAAGATGGTTGTTTTTGGTATTTCTGCTGGGTAGTCATGGTGCTCTCTCTCTATTTCGCTGTGAGAAAGATTCCAATGATAGTAGATTCCAGGCTCTGCCCTTCTTTTCTCTCTGCAATAGATGCCAAAGAGAGTAGATTGTCTTTCTCTTTCTCTCTCTCTCTTGATTCTAGGCACTCTCTCCTTCTTGCAGTAGATGCCTAAGAGAATGCATTTAGGGTTTTTTCTATTAAGGAATGCATTTGTGATTTCCATCTTCATGGCGCGTGGCGCGTAGATTTATGGAGAATGCATTTGAGGTTTTCTATCTTTAAGTATGAAGATGTATCTTCATGGTACTCTCTAATGGCTCTCTCGAGCGGCTAAATAATGGCTGCGGTTTGAATAGAGCCTACCTAGGCTCTAAACAGTCAAATTAGAGCCTACCTTCAAATAGTTCGAGAAATACAGTTTCAATACTGGAAATATTTGTTATAGACTTGGAATATATTTTCATCTTTATTTATAAAGTTTAAAGCTTAAAAAATAGTGTAGATCAACAAATCTATGAAAACTTGAAAATTTTAAAAATTGACGGTAAAAAAATGTGTTACAAAATACACTATTTTCAAAACTTGAAATCCATTTTTTCCTCATGTCCATGCATCTTGATGTCGAGATGATCAATTTGAAGATATTTGGGCATCAAAACAACCTTTTCTAGTAAAATTTTTGAGGTAGGATCTAATTTGATTGTTTAGAGCCTCAACTCTATATAAACTTTTCCCCTAAATAATAGGCAGGAAAAATATCAATTAAGGGAAAACTGTATTTCATAACATACAACTCACTGTTAAGATGAATAGGGAGATAAATCATCTCGAAAAGAGGCTTGTCTTATTGGTTTTTTGATGGTTCAATCAATCGATTGTGGTAACATGGTCTTCAAGTAATCGATGGAAAATTTCTTTCGACTTTATTTCAGTATAATTTGATGGATGGTTTTGCTTATTTATGTGAATTAATTGGTTATGTATGCTTAACTTTGACATTCATTATGTAATTCAAATATTCAATTTGATGTATGGGTTTTACTGTGTGATTTAGTGTTCCAATCATAGTTACCGAGAGCTCCAGCTTCAGAATTTCACTCCGGCGTTTCGGAGCCGAAATCTCGCCCGGGACCCGTTCCCATCTTTTTGGGATCTCGCTTTAATTTTTAGGATTCTAGATCCTATTCACAACGGAGCTCACTCCATCTACGTTAGGGATCTCGCTCCGATTCAGAATGGAGCTTGCTCCGTCTACTTCATGGATCTCGCTGTCATTCACAACGGATCTCGCTCCCTATAATTCACGGATCTCGATTACATTCTCAACGGAGTTCGCTCCATCTACTTCACAGATCTCGTTCCCATTGTCTCACGGAACACGTTCTATAACATGGTAGATGTAGTTCCCGAACAAATTAGATCCCTGCTCCCAGAATTTTAAGATCGCGATCCCGACGTACTCGAAATTAGATCCTAACAAGGTTGTGACCCACCCCGATCCTATAATCTATGGAGCTCGCTCATGAGGAAAGTTGATCCCGATCCCAAAAGTATAAGGTTCTCGATTTATGAAATCTGAGATTGCGACCCTAGGAACTCGGATGT